GTTTTATGGTACGATGTGGTCTGCTTGATTGGTATATAAACAGAGTATGTTTGTTCATGTATGTTCATATTGCAGAGGCTGAGATTGGCATTCTGGACTAAACTGGCTGGGCTAGGCGGAAAGCAGGACCAATCAAATCTCTAGGCTTCTCATACGGGTCTGCGCGTCATTGATTCGATCGATAAGTCACTGCTCTCTAATCGGAGGTCACAAGTTATGTCTTTGGACATAAGTACTATGTAACGTCAATGAAGAGAGGAATGCATGGTAAATGGCTATGAAGCTCGAATTAAAAAAAACAGAACTAGAAATAGAAAGGAATTGTGACTTTGAACAATCATACAGTGTAGTAAAGAACAAATGATAGAATTTTGCAAATGAAGCATTCTAATGTATGGCATTCATATTTTGACGAACATATTGTATAATTTTTTGTCGAAATACATTTACAGATTGAAATCATGAGTCAGCTGAAGCTAGACCATCATTGAAAACGTGGAAGCACTGGACGGCCGTTTCGTCCTAGTATGGGACTCCTCAGCAGTGCGTATCCACGATCCCGCACCCACCGGGTTCAAACCCAGGACCTACTGGCTTCGCGCGTGAGCACTTAACCATTAGACCACTTAGCCGGGATCGTGGATACGCACTGCTAAGGAGTCCCATACTAGGACGAAACGGCCGTCCAGTGCTTCCAGGTTTTCAATGGTGGTCTAGCTTCAACTGACTCATGATTTCAATCTGTGAAAACTCCTTAAATCTCTACAAACCCCTTCTGAGAAATACATTTAGTGATTTCCACATGTATTCTCATTCATAACAAAATTACTAAGTAAATGGTTTATTAAGTTAACAGTTTTAAACAAGACATAAGCTAAGAAACCATGGTAATTATTCATGTAACTAATCAAATAAGTATTATATACAAAGAGGTAATAGTTCAATTACTGTCTATTCATTATTTTACTAATGAATAAGAATAAATTTACAATCATAACCAACTATCTAGAATGACTGATTAAGATTTTCAACATAGGTATACATCAAGAAATTTGTATTCTGTATTGTTAAGTACTTTGATAAGTTATATCAACTTTTCCTATAAAATTTGTAAATAGTTTAAGAATATTATACTATTCAGAAATTCTGAAAGTACCAAATGGTCATCTTGACTTAATATGATACTTTTCAGCATTGTATTCCTTCAATACTTTTAGATTTTCAATGATGGTCTAATATGGATTAGTTAATGATCTCAATTAAAATTCTACAATCTTCACAATTCTATATTGTTTATAATAATTCATTAATGTTTAAAAAAAATATATGTAACAATCAGAATAAGGATTTATAGGAGATTTTAGTAAATTTCATGTCCCATTTGCAAGATCGTGAATGTGCAACTGTTCAGGAGTTTTATACTAGGATGAAACAACTGTTCCAAGCTTTCAATGATTGGTCTAGCTTAGATCAATTCATGAATTTAACCATTAAAAATATATAATTATTGTTTTGTGTTATTATTATTAATATTATTGTCCTGGTAACATTACTCCCCCCCCTTTAATTTATTACGTCATTTTATAATTACATCATTAATCTATTTTCAGTTATTTCATTACATAATAATCTAATGTGTTTTAATTCCATGATTTCTAATCACTATTTCAATGTTCTGGAACCTTCCCTCTCAAACTCTATATATTCGAAACCAATAATTTTATGACCTCATTAACTCTAACGAAATCTTGGCTACATCATGATACACATATATTCATCCTTCATCACCCTCTGATGTATAAGTATTGTCAACATCTATAATAACGTTGAATTTCAAATAATTTAGGTTGTAAGCAGCTGATGAGAACCTAACGAAATCAAATGAATTCATTTACTGTTCTGCACCAATCATTGTTCTTGTTCTCTTTAAAAAAACCTGAAAACACTGAACGTCCGTTTCGTCCTAGTATCGAACTCCTGAGCAGTTCACATTCACGATCTTGCAAGTAGAATACAAAAATTTACTAAAATCTTCATAAATCCTCATTCTGATTATTTTGATATTGTTATTTAAGGCTGTAATTGATCAATCTCATGTTGGCATATGTGAAGCCTGTCCGGATTGCATCGATATAGACTTAAATTACAAGCTTATTAAGAAATGATGGATAATGGCTATCAGTGGAATCCAATTTAATGCACGTTTTGTCCTATTTTGGAATCGTCAGTTGGATGTACTTGTATCTCAAAGTTGATATTTACTCTGGGACTCGAACCGAATACCGTTCGCTTTAAACACCATCGCGTTATCCACTTAGCTATCGAGTCATAAATAAAAATGTGAAGATACAAGTAAAGTAACATCAAGTGAATTTAAACTTCACCTCATTGCATAAACAAGTGACTATCAGAACTCAGTAGTTAAGACGATAACGCGATGGCATTTGAAGCGAACGGTGCTAGGTTCGAGTTCCAGAATGAACATTCACTCTGAGATGTAGGTGAATCCACTTAACGAGTCTACTGCTAGTCACTACTCATTTTGGCCTAAACAGATTACTAGTGTAGATTATTTTTTTTTCTTTCTTCAACTTTTTTTGATCTTGATAATTGAATTCAGTAGAATAATTAAGAATAGAAGTGATGTTTTCTTTTTTTTTTTTCAAAAAAAAAATTGTCAAACAAAAAAGGAATCTAATTAATAAGTTATGATCAGCTGGCAATTAAATAAGTTACCAAGTAAACAAACATTCCACACTTATTAATTAGTTACCATATTTATTTTTCCATAAGTTAATAACACTGTAAATTATGATCATTAACAGTATAAATGATTACTAATGAATCGATTTTATGACATTCATCTACGTTGTATATTAGTGTTTAACATTGTTTTTACATTATCACTTCATCAAAAGTGATTGATAGAGAATTATAGATTGAAGTTGTGTGTGGTGGGGGGCGCCGTTAAATTATCAAAATGATGTATTCATTTAATTGATTTAAGTAACTATTTTGTTTGCTCATAAAGAAAATTTCACTTCTTTCTATGTATTGGTTTATCAGTAATGATGAAAGAAATTCACTTAATAATATCATTGATATCATGAACTAATCACTGTTACAATATAGAAGCATTGAGTAGCCGTTTTGTTCTAGGACTGGACCCATCAATAGCGTTCATTCACGGTCCCTTACTAAGAGCAATCGAATTCAACACCTTTTGATTTGGTGTGTAAACACTTAACCACTACTACACTACTATATCGTCATTTAATATTATTGATATGTTAATTCAATCAGTTCACGACATTGTATTTCCAGTTTGTATTGTAACTAAATGTACCACATTCAGTAGTGACTAGCTCGATTAGTTACAGCTTTTCATGAAAACTTCAAAGATTTCTTATCAGAACGAAGTATTATTGATAATGTCATGAAAGAGTTATGACTATTGAATTTTATTACAATGATGAATTGATTAAGCATACAGAATAATAAATTCGCATTTCTAAGGAATCTCATAATAGTATGAAACAATCATTCCGTGCTTGGAGTATTTCATTAGTGATCTAATTTATAATAATTCGTTAATCAAAACAATTCTTAATTTGAAATATATTATTCAGAATTAGAACATAGTTTCAATGATATCCAATTATCAAATACTCACAATGATAAAAGAATTTTCAATGCTCTATATTAAGTTAACTTCTAACTAGATATAAATAAGGTTTAACACATTAGAAGGTGAATGTTACCCATTTATTATTATCAGTTTAGGGATTGTGAAGATATTTAAGTTTTTGATCGAGATCATGAACCGATTGATGTTAGACCATCACAATTGAAAACCTGGAAACACTGGGCGGCCGTTTCGTCCTATTGTAGGACTCTTCAGCAGTGCACATCCACGATCCCGCCCGCCGGATTCGAACCCAGGGCCTTCAGTCTCGCGCGCGAACGCTTAACCTACTGGACCACTGAGCCAACCGGAATCCAATAGTGACAGTGTCTAACATCAACCAATTCACGAAGTTGCGCGACCATCTTCCATTGTACAGAGGTAGACACTTGTTTCTACCCGACACGGATTAGCTCCACTTGTCACGGCTTCTCACTAGAACTCCAAGAATTTTCTCACGAAGCTAGTCACTAGTGAGCATATGGTAATTATCAGTTTAGAGGTTGTGAAGATTGTTAAGTTTTTGATTGAGATCATGAACCGATTGATATTAGACCACCATTGAAAACCTAATATCAATCGGTTCATGATCTCGATCATTTATTATTGTCAATTTTAGTAATTTCATAAAACAATTCACGTAATTATAATCATTTTGACTTATAATTCAGTGATAATGATATAATTCATTAATTTTGGTTGAGATCATGAATTAATTGATGTTGGACCACCGTCAGAAACCTGGGTTGGTTGATGTTAGACACTAACACCACTGGATGCCAGCTCAGTGGCCTAATGGTTAAGTGCTCGGGCGCGAAGCCAGTAGTCCTGGGTTCGAATCCCGCGGGGTGCGGGATCGTGGGTGCGCACTGCTGAGGAGTCCCATACTAGGACTAAACGGCTGTCCAGTGCTTCCAGGTTTTCGACGGTGGTCTAACATCAATTAATTCATGATCTCAACCAAAAACTTAACAATCTCCACAACCCCATACTGATAATTCATTAATTGTTTTTATCAATAATTAATTAGTTCATGCTTATACATTTTATGCTTTAACTTGAAATTCTGTAGGGAAATAGGAAAAAGAAAAAAGAAGACCAAAGAACACATTCCATTGAGCGTTGAAAGTAGACATTGAAAAGACGAATAACAATTGGAAAAGATTCTCGAAGACAAATGTTGTTAGACGGTCTATATTCGTTCACGATGGGTAACAGACGTAAGTAAGTAAGTATAAATTATATACATATATATATAAACATTATTTCTGATTCATCTAAGTAGATATAGTTTTAGCAACATTTGAAAACTTACCACCTGCAGGAGGTACAAGTTGATCTAATAATTTATTACTTGTTCTTTTCCATATTTTTTTAATTACAGCACGAAGTTCTTCATTTAATTGATCAATTGCTGCACCTATATCATATAATAATAGTTATTATTATTATCATTATTATTATTATTTATATGAATATTCGTCAAGATTAGACCGAATAGTTTGACAGAAATCGAGCGCCGAGCAAAGAGAAGTCATTATATGTGAAAATTATATTTGAAATAATTTCAGCAATTGAAATGTAAATAATTTCAACGTTTCGTCCAGCTAACTTGTCCGGACTTCTTCTTTGGATTATTACTCTGAAGAAGTCCGGACAAGTTAGCTGGACGAAACGTTGGAATAATTTACATTTCAATTGCTGAGATTATTTCAAATATAATTTTCACATATATTATTATTAATATTATTATGGATGTTATTCAATAACAATGAAATATGAAGAGTATGAACAATTTGGTTGACTATAATATATAATTTTGAAATCACTTAGATGGATTAAACGATAGTTATATTTAAAAAAAGTCAATCCTTCAAATCTCAGATGAAACAAATTTCGAGAAATATAATCATGAGTATAACCAGTTGAATATGTTGATCATTTCGTTTTTCATAAGCAACTTAGAACTTAACATTTGTGTGTCGGTTCATGTGGTCACACCATATGAGCATAGAGAGATGAAATTGTCTAGATACACGTCAGAATGATTAAAGTTGGGGCAGTATCAGAGACAATAAAATGCCCTAAGCATACTTACTTACTAACGCCTGTTACTACTCGTGGAGGAGCATAGGCCGCTCACCAGCATTCTCCATTCAACCCTGTCCTGAGCAATCCTTTCCAGATATTTTTTAGTTGTTATTCATCTTTTTCACATCTGATTCTATTTTTTGACATAATGTGTTTTTTGGCCTTCCACTTTTCCGCTTCCCTTGAGGATTCCAAGTTAGAGCTTGTCTCGTGATGCAGTTTGATGATTTCCACAACGTAGGTCCTATCCACTTCCATCGTCTTTTCCTAATTTCTTCTTCAGCTGGAAGCTGATGGTATCCGGCCAATGGATGTTGAGTATCTTGTGTAGACAGCTATTTGTAAATACTTGCACCTTCTTGATGATGGTTGTTATAGTTCTCCAAGTTTCAGCTCCTTACAGTAGAACTGTCTTGACGTTTGTGTTGAAGATTGTGAAGTTGATGTTGGTTGGCAGCTGTTTGGATTTCCATATGTTCGTCAATTGTAGGAATACGACCCTTGCTTTACCAATCCTCGCCTTTACGTCTGCATCTGATCCTCCTAGTTAATCATTGATGCTTCCAATGTACGCGTAGGATTCTACATCTTGCAGAGTTTCGCCATCAATTGTGATTGAGTTGGTGTTTTTCGTGTTGTGTTTGAGGATCTTGGTTTTCCCCTTGTGTATGTTGAGGCCTATTGATGCAGAAACTGCTGCTACACTGGCTGTCTTTATCTGCATTTGTTCATGTGTATGCGATAGAAGGGCCAGGTCATCTGCGAAGTCCAAATCGTCTAATTGGTTCTGAGCTGTCCATTGTATTCCGTGTTTTCCTTCAGATATCGAGGTCTTCATAATCCAGTCGATCACCAGAAGAAAGAGGAAGGGGAGAGTAGATAGCATTGTCTAACTTCCTAAAATAAAACACTAACCCTAAGCATAGACGATATAATTTGCGGAATAAAAATAGATTTGTACGGTAAAAGGTATAGAATCATTTTGAAACTCGCAATCTAACGGATACTAATGCGCGGATGTATTTGTGTTATTGAAAGTGATTCTGAACCATATTACACGTGTTTAATCAATAGTTATGGAAATAGTGCAAAACATGGATTGGTACTATGTCTTAGCTTGGTCATCCCATGTCGAATGTATATATTTGTATTAGGGAATTAAAGTAATTTGAGTTGATATATGTATAACAAATGATTGTTCATACACAAAATTGAAGATCAATAAGGAATCAGTAGTAATATTTCAGTCCTATCCATCATAATACAGAGGACATCATTAAACTATTGAAATTCTGAATAGCTATTTCTCATGCTAATTTCTTTATGAATTACCGAATTTAAAATACAAAAATAATTGAAAAAAAGCTGAGATTCATAGTGATGACCCAATATTCTGTACACTTTGGTTATGGACGAGATGATTACTACGAATTATGTGAACTTAGTTAAATCTATTGAGGAAAGCACCCAACTGAGTCACAAGACAAGCCATCACATGGAATCCTCAGGGCGAAAGGAAAAGAGGAAGACCAAAGAACACATTACATTGAGAAATGGAGACAGACATAGGAAAAATGAACAAAAATTGGACAGAACTGGAAAGGAAGACCCAGGACAGAATGAATTGGAGAATGCTGGTCGGCGACCTATGCTCCATTAGGAGTAACAGGCGTAAGTCAGTAAGTATGTTAAATCTAACGATATATGTTAATGACGTCTCAAATGCATATAACCCACGGGTGTGGCCAACAGTCAAAATTAACAGCTTATAGTAACCCGTATGCATGTTGAAAACAGAAATTATACTCAACTTCTGGCAGCTTTCTATTATTATGAATTTTAATATTATGGATGTTATTCAGTAGAATAATAGTTTGTAAACAAGAAATTTCTAAATTGATGTTTAAATTTTCCTAAGAAATCATTCATCAGCACTACATTAGAATGTTTTGTTAAGGGGGCACTCTCCGAGCTTTGAAATATAAAGATCTAATCTACAAGACGTTAGGAGATGCCGTACCATGGTAAGTGATGACAAAAAAATAGGTTCGTACGACATTTCATCCCCCCAGAAAATCCGTGAACCTATGTGCACTATCGATTTGAAATTAGGGTTTTCCAACTCCTCTAAGTAAATACTCCATATCGACCGACTCAGTATGAGCACTTAACATTCGGTTATCTTATTTTCAATTTCTATAAACAACAGTTTTGCCGTGAGAAGGCAGTGAGTAGGACTTCCCTGAAAGTGATTGTATATGCGTGTCCATGTGAGAGCATTACGAGAGAGAGCTAACTCTTTTCACCCTAAACCGTACCGTAGTTTTCTCTTTGTTTGTTTTTTTTTAAAATTTAATTTGACATAAATGTGAAGTTATGTATGAATAAAATGTGAGAAAAATAATCTATTCAATACAACTAATTCATAATAGCTTACCTTCAGTTTTTATTTTTAAATTAGTTCGAACTAAAGCAAAAAGTGTTGCATTGAACATGACAGTTCCATCACTATTCAACGGCATATTCATACGTACTAAAGTCTGAAACAAAAATATTCAAATATTGATGTAAAGAGTTGAGATAAGTCTATTGATAGATATTAATAATGATATACATAGAAATATCATCAGAAAGGGGTTTCGATAGATATTATAGTATTTTAATAGATGAACTCGTAAGTCAATTGAAGCTAGTCCACCATAAAAAACCTGGAAGCACCGGATAGACTTTTCGTCCTGACGTGAAACTCCTCCTCAGAAGTGTGCATCCACGATACCGCTCACGGGATTCGATCCTAGGGCTTATCGGTCTTGTGCGCGAAAGCTTAACCTTTAGATTACTGAGGTGGCCGGCATTCAACGGTATTAATGTTTAACTTCAATTAATCCACGAAATTGAGTGACACATCCACCATTATGTTCAGTGAGTCACTATCTCACAACAGACTCGGTTGAACTCCATTTGTCACTGCTTCTCACTAGAACTCCAAGAAATACCACCTAGAGCCAGTCACTAGTGAGCATAGGATGATTATCATCAGAAAGTGTTTTTTTCTGGGTATTGTAGTCTTTAAATAGTTGAGTTTGTGAGTCAATTGAAGCTTCAGTGAGTTACTATCTAACAATAGACCCGGTTGAACTCCACTAGTCTCTGCTTCATAATGAAAGATTACAAGTAGATTTTAAATTTCTTGTCAGTTAATGAATTCTTTATCAACGATCAAAATGTAAACAAAAAAAGATAATAAGGTTAGAGATATGGAAACTAGGATAGATAAACTGATATTGAAGTAGTATTTATTTTAATATCTGAAGGGTTTTGTGGATATTATAGTAATTTCAATGGTTAAGATCATGAGTCAGTTGAACCTAGATCACCCAGTTGGTTCTGAGGTCGAATCACACAGGGGGCGAGGTCGTGGATGCGCACTGCTGAGGAATCCCACAATAGGACGAAACGGCCATCCACTGCTTCCAGGTTTTCCATGGTGGTCTAGCTTCAATTGACTCATGATCTTAACCATTGAAGTTAATTTTTATTTCATAGTTGTATATGATGTGAAAACACCACTAATAGACACTTTAAATGCTTTTTTTTAATAGGTATAGTTTACTGTCTTAAATCAATGGATCTTATTAAAAACAATTCAATTCAAATTAACTGATATTCATTTGATCCCTAAAATATTTCCATTCGAAGGTGATTATGCATGTAATTTCATTAAAATCACTAATTAATCAAAGTTAAATACAACCACTGAAATCCTGGAACCATTGGACGTCTATTTTGTCTGAATATGATTGTATGAATCAATTTTATAGGTTGAAAGTAGTATATTCCATATACATTAGATTTTAAAATAATGACAATATGTATCATTGGTAAAATATAAAAATCTATACAAGAAAGGGATAAGAGAAAATTTCTTTATCTTGTATATATAAGTCTCTTTTGATTAAGTTGATGCTCATTGTTTTTGGTAAATATAGAGAATGGATAATCCTATGCCTTTGGATAAATTGCTGTAGACTTAATAAACATCTGAGAAACCAACATCTTAATACTACATCCATTGTCACTTAGGTGGTAAGGAATGATTGTTTATTGACTTAGTGACAATTCTTGTTAAATAAAGCAGTTCATGTATGTTGAAACCCATGAAGTAAAAACCTGGAAGATACATGACTATACTGAATAATGTTTGATATTCCACATAACAGTAACAAGGATCATATACAGAGCATACGGATTAAGTTAAAGTCGGATGAGAATTCAAAAGCCATCAAAGTAGATAAAAGATCAGATATTCCAATTCTGACAAAGAATGATTACATAGATAAAATGAATTGTATACTGGTGGATCAGACTGAATTCCTAAAACTTGCATTATGTAAGATTGGTTCTTATCTAACTATAACACATTAAAACCTCTGAAATAATCACAGATTTCTGATTCTGTTACGTACTTAAATATTACAAAACACCTACTTGACGACTTTATGGCCTACTGAAGGTTCAAAATCTTTGGATACATGATTCTGGAAATGTCAAACTCAATGTGCTAATCGATAACGAAATATTTGGTGAAACTATTGAAAATATTACAATGGAAATGGATTAAACGCTATGCTAAAGGTGTGTAGAAACGTGTGAATGTAACGAAAAAAAATGTTTTATGTCTGAATGTGACAACATAGATGACATCACATGGGTTCAGAAATATTTACCATTTGTGCATCAAGGAATGTACGATATATTATGCTGGTTATATTTCGTAATCTGAAATATTTTGTTGCGTACATTTCGTGAATATTCCTCTTGTTTACTCTTATTTAAATGATGTTCTCAATTTGAATTTGTTCGTTTGATAAGTCATCAGTATAAAATTAAAATTCCTTTAATAGAACAGTGCATTTGACGCCGTAGACCGCAAGATTCTGTGGCAGTGTCTGCCATTGAAAAACATACCTCAGAAGTACATAAATCTTGTAAAGGCTCTTTACTCGAACACTACTAATCGAGTGAGAGCTTATGGCGAACTGTCATCTGATTTTGCAATGTCAAGTGGTGTCCGTCAAGGCTGTCCACATTCTCCATTTTTCTTCAACTTCATCATAGATCTACTGATGGAAATAACATTCTCGTCGACTGAATCCTCGGGTATTGATCTCATTCCAGGAGGTCTACTTATCGACTTAGAATACGCAGATGACATAGTCTTGTTTGGTGAAGACGCTGATAAAATACAGAGTGTTTTGGTAGCACTAAGCAACGATGCCAGAATGTTTGGAATGCGCTTATATATGTCAACATCAGTAGCATACACTACATTATGATTTACATCTGTTCAATATTCAATACAGTCTTCAGGTATGATAAAAATTATCAACGAATAATATAGTCAATGAAAATAAAGTTATTATCTATGAAATGTTGATCACTGTCGAAATGAATGTAATTCCGATGATTAACTGAATCACTTCCTTCAAGTTGTATCAAACATATAGTGGTCAAAGACATTTTATATGAAGTTTTATGAAGCTTTTTCTCAGTTTAATTTGTGTACACCAAGAAATGATCATTTGTATGGTTGATTGGAGAAAATTGATGTTTGTACTAGAACATATGATTGAATAGATTGATTGTTACACGAGATACAAAATCTATGATATCTTTTAATAATGCTTGGATTCATAAATGATTATATAGACTTCCAGAAATAAAGTGATTACTTCATGTAATCAAATGAAGTATCATATAGTTCTGTTATGTTTTGAATGTATAGGTCTTAGTTTTGGCGGTTAGGTTAAAACTATCAAAGTATGAAGGTCATGTGATTACAAGGTGTACAGTGCCAGCTTAATTACTGTAATACATAATCAATATTATTGATATAGATGTACTTCTTAATGCTTTCTTATTAAATCATTCCATATTACATAATGAAGTCGCTTTGTTATTTTTGTTCACAGTTGTGTTAATGTGACTTCCTATAAGATTGTATATGTTTATTTGGATAATCAATCAATGAGTCTATTACTTAAAACATAATTATGAAACATAGTTTGACCTTATTAATTAATGTAAAATTGTTACTATCAAAGTTTAATTAGTATAGAAAGCTTAATGTTGAATTAGATCAATGATGAATAATTCAAGAACTTGAATAGTTAGACAAACAAACAAAAAAAACAGAACTTAATTAAGTCAGCAATTCATATTAATCTTATAAATTATTTAAAGAAATACCTTTTTCCTTTGTAGAGATATCATTAACTCTTCTGATGAATATTATTTATTTGAACATAGAAATATTGGTACAACAAGGCACCAAATATGTATGCGCCACATATTTTCATTATCATTATATTTGTGTGTGGGTTGTGATACTGCCCGAGTGCCCAAACCGAACCAAGTGGTTTTCTTAGGGGGCCACACAAGGAGCCTTTGACCTAAAGGTCTAACCCACAAGGCAGTGGAGCATCGTAAGGAGATGCAGTCCCATGGTAGCCGATGACCAAGAAACTGGTTCATACGCCATTTGTTCCCGCAGGATACTGGAGCCCATGTGCACCAATGGTTTCGGATCCGGTTAAAGCATCGGACATTCGCTTTTCTTCCTCTCAATTTCGTAAACAACACCCCCGCCACGTGAAGGTAGTGAGTAGGACTTCCCTGGCAGAGGCTATGTACGCGTGGCCGTGTGGGAGCATTTCGAGGAGGGTGGGCCCATCTCACTCTCGGCCATACCAGGGCATTTGGGGGTAATGAATATTATAAATGAGGTCTATTATATACATATTTTAATAGGCTTGGTACAATTCTCTAAGGTCAATTGTTCTAGATATGGTGTAATTGTAAATGTATTTTAAAGAAAACAGAGAACACTTAGAAGGAACCAGATATGACCTATCAATGGAAAGTATACTCTCAGAGTCTGTTTTGTAAGATCATTATACAAATTGTACTCATTAATGAAAGTTTGCGCAGCATACATTATTTTCATTTCTTGTAATAAATGAAGGAAACGTCAGTTTTATTTAAAATAGCTACTTTACGTACGTACGAAGGTTTATGTTGTTGACTGACTGACTGATTCACTAACTGACTTTACTCATAAACTCATAGGATTATCCATAATATATAGATACAACATTAAATGAGATATATTACTATAAAACTGACAAAATGGAAATGAAAATTTATCAGTAAAAGGAAACTTGAGCTAACATGTTAGTTAATTATTTATTAAGCTTATTTGTTAAGCTTTTCACTGGAGTGTGCGTTACTTATATCAACATAAGTAGTATATAACGCTAGTAAGGAATAGAATGTCTGGTAGAAGATTGAGGTGGAAACAAGGTGAATAGATAGCAATTGATATGAAAATGCAGAAACTATGAGTCCGAGACGATTGATTGATCTTTGATTATTATATTATCTATTATTTACACATAACCTGTGTTACATCTGAACGAAGAATAAATGAATAGCAAGTGATAGGAATTATTTATGGGCTTTCATTACACATATTTTTATTGGATAATTATTATCTAAATCATAAGCTTTCATTTGACCTATTAACTAATGTTATACGATTTACCATTCTTAATATATTCCCAGTTTATTAGTTACAGTCTATCACACAGACACCTTTGTTTTGACCTTGTGAAATACCTGGCGGCAGAAGGTTAAGAAGATCGAAGGAAAGAGAACAAGAACAGAGAATAAGTGGTGTAAAAACTTGTACAAATATGTATATTCTATTTGATGGTACGATGTGGTCTGTTTGGTTGGTATATGTAAGTCCAGTATGTTTGAAATAAATAATCCATATCGCAAAGGCTGAGATTGATGTTCTGAACTTTAACAGGCAGAGCTAGTCAGCAAGTGAGCCCGTTAAGAACTCTAGACTACTCCGCATGGGTTTTTTGCGTCACTGGTCCAGTTGATAAATCATTATTCTCTAATTGGCGATATCATTACGTTATATATTGATGGTCACAATCCACAAGTTATAACGAAATCCAAATTTCTGAAGGATGAATAAACATTATTACATTTTGTGTCATCATGATCTATACTAACTAGTCCACAATCTCTAAACCAACATGTTGTTTGAAATAATACCTTAAACACATTTAAACACAGAATGACATTTACACTGTCAAATATTCAGAATTCAATATATATTTTTTAATTGAATACACTTACTACACATGCAGTTCGATGAGGACATAATTTACCCAAAACCTAATGGAGGTGATATTTTACGAAGGATGTAACTACATCAAGATGTTTAATTCTTCCTCTAAAATGAATCAAATCAATGTATGCTCATGAATAATGTATATATATTATAGATTGTAATAGACAATAAAAAATAACATAAATGGTAGGCATTTAAAAACTGAATGTAGTGACCATAGGGTAATAAAAAGTCTTAATCGGATATTACTGGTTAGCATTTTTTTAGCGAGTTAGTTTTCTACGGGATGGTCGCTAACCCCATGCCCAACCCTCCTCCTTTCCAGCCTTGGGACCGGCAGTACCGCCGGAGGGACTCCAGTTTACTTACTACTTACTTACTACTATACTTACTTACTTACTACTACTTACTTACTTACTTACTTACTTACTTACTTACTACTATTACTTACTTACTTACTTACTTACTACTACTTCCTTACTACTTACTTACTTACTTACTTACTTACTTACTACTTACTTACTACTACTTATACTTATTACTTACTTCCTTACTTACTTACACTTACTACTTATACTTACTTACTTACTTACGTACTACTACTTACTTTACTTACTTACTTTTTTTTTTACTTTTTTATTTTTTTTACTTTTACTTTTTTTTTTTACTTATTACTACTTACTTACTTACTTACTTACTACTTACTACTTACTACTTACTTACTTACTTACTTACTACTTACTTACTTACTTACTTACTTACTTACTTACTTACTTACTTACTTACTACTTACTTACTTATTACACTTACTTACTACTTACTTACTTACTTACTTACTTACTTACTTACTTACTTACTACTTACTACTTACTTACTTACTTACTTACTTACTTACTTACTTACTTACTTACTTACTTACTACTTACTTACTTACTTACTTACTTACTTACTACTACTACTTACTTACTTACTTACTTACTTACTTACTTACTTACTTACTTACTTACTTACTACTACTTACTTACTTACTTACTTACTTACTTACTTACACTTACTTACTTACTTTACTTACTTACTTACTTACTTACTTACTTACTTACTTACTACTTACTTACTTACTTACTTACTTACTTACTTACTTACTTACTTACTTACTTACTTACTACTTACTTACTTACTTACTTACTTACTTACTTACTTACTTACTTACTTACTTACTTACTTACTTACTTACTTACTTACTTACTTACTTATTTACTTACTTACTTACTTACGCCGGTTACTCGTAATGGAGCATAGGTCGGCGACCAGCATTCTCCAACCCACTCACTCTGTCTTGGGCTTTCTTTTCTTGTTCCATTCAATTCTTGTTCTTGTTTTACTCATGTCTATCTCCATTTCCCGGTGTAATGTGTTCTTCTTTGATCTTACTCTCCTCCTTTGGCCTTGAGAATTCCATGTGAGGGATTGCCTTGTGATGCAGTTAGGTGATTTCCTCAATGTGTGTCCTATCCACTTCCAGTGCTTCTTCCTGATTTCTTCCTCCGCTGGGATCTGGTATTTTCTTTCCAACAGAAGTTTGTTGCTAGTAGTGTCTGCCAAACGGATCTGAAGTATTTTGCGTAGACAACTGCATCCTAGACCAATTATATATTACTTAAATAATAATCTACTCAATAGATATGCATAACTATTTATCTATTTCAGTATTTTATTTTTCTGGTTAGCGTTTTTTTTGAGCGATTTAGTGTTCTACGGGATAGGGTTACCAACCCTATGTCCAACCCTTCACGTTTACCCAAGCTTGGGAACGGCAGTAACTATGGAAGTGCTACAAGCGATGTTTCAGTATTTCATATAGAAACTTAAATTAGCAATAATTCCAGATCGTTTTGTTAATCATTAGAGATAGTACACGAATAACACCTACAAGATATGCAATTAGTTATCAAACGCAATAGATATAATGTGTACAAAACTAATAATTCATTTACTAGTCATAAAAGTATATTAACCATGAAATGAAAGATGATACATTGAAGCTGATAACATATGCTCACTAGTGACTGGCTTCAAGAGGTATTTCCTGAAGTTCTAGTAAGAAGTAGTGACCAAGGGAGTTCAGCCAGGTCTGTTATCAGATAGTAACTCACTGAAGATAATGGTGGACTGTGGCATGACTTCGCGAATTCTTTCAAGTTAGACATAAACACTGTTGGATACAGGCTAAGTCAATGATCCAGGGGTTAAGCGTTCGTACGCGAGACCGATAGTTCCTGATTTCGAATCCCACCAGGCGGGGTCATGGATGTGCACTGCTGAGGAATCCCACAATACGACGAAACGGCCATATAGGGCTTCCATGTTTTCCATGGTTGTCTAGTTTCAACTGACTCATGACCTCAACTATTAAAACATTAATGCTTGTTTATTTCCCATAGAGATTAAAGTATCAATTCAACGTATTCATATATACCTGGAGTTTCATATTGTTGTCATTGATTTGGCTGATTCAATGGATTTGTACAGTCATAACATGAAATTAAAATGTGCTTCTTGGTTGGATGGTATTGTAGTTAACAGAATACGAGCGGAGAAAATCGAATGCATTCAACTCAAGCTTACATGAGTTGTTATTAAAATCTAACAACCATATAGTAAATGCTTAATTTGCAAAATGTTCGTTAGATGTCTTAAAGTGACTCAGATTTCATTGTTCTTGCATTTTCATACAAATTGCATTCTGTTCCCATTCTTTCCCGTTCGATCCTCTTGTCTCTTTGCTGTCAGACATTCTGTTCCTGACTAACATCATATAATACTTATGTCGATATAAGTAGCACACACCACAGTATTACCGAAAAGATTATATGATAATCAGAAAAAATAGCTCATTTCACACATACAGCTTTAGTATTTAAATGGAAAAAAATGTTGTCCAAATTCATTCTACTTGACCTAATAAACGTCATAAACCTTAACAGGATATTTCAACATTCCTTGGTTGTTTCTTCGTGATTACCAAAGATAATTTATGAATTTTAATTTATGTTAATTAGCATCAAAGCCTACGATGTTATCATTGAACTATTATGATCACTACAAACTTCCTGTATGATTAAGATTTTTATATCAATCGATCTTCAAACAGTACCTATTCTCATGTTTTATTGATCTTAGTACGAATCCAATTCTGTCGATGAATTTATAATATAGACTGTGTTATATGATTCAATATCACAATTTACTTTATTTTTTTAAACTACTTATGAGTAGGTAAAAATAACGTGAAATTGTTTTCATAAGCACAATTGATTGATCACTGGATGATGATCAATGTCGTGTGTGTCAAGCCCCTCTTAGTTTAACCAAGTTGCAAAGTGACCGATAGTCTAGGTGACTCAACATTGCGTGCACTATGTTGAGACGAATGAGAAGTAGCACGAAACCCTGGTGTTTTTTTCTAGTTGAATCTCACACTTTAATAAACACGTTTTAATATATGTATATATCTTTATTTAGATTTTGTTATTTTCTTACCAATTTTATCTTTTTATAAGCCCTATATCAACCTTACCATATGGATCAAATTCTGCATTATATAAATCAACAGACTTTTCAACTATTCCTTATATACAAGAATCAGTTCATCATATTTCACCATTATATAAATCAAATCATTATAATCAATCAAAATCTATCAATGTTATAAATGAATTACAAAATGTAACTAATAAAGGAAATGATTTGATTAATATGAATGACGAAGAGAGTAGATCTGAAATAGAAGAAGAAGAAGAGGTAGTAGTCGAAGTAGAAGAAGATGATGAAGAGGATTTATTTACAACAATAAGAAGTGAAACACCTAGTCCAGCACCATCAATTGCTGCAGCTATACTTAGGCCAAATTATTATTCTAATTTAAAAGAACATAGGAAAACAATTGATCCTTCAGATTTTACAGTTTATACTAGTATACCAAGAAATTTAATGATGAATAAATTGATCAATAAAAGTGGGAATACTAGTGGATATTCTAATGGTATGGTTAATAAGGACTTGGAAGAATTATTAGATTTACCTAAGGTATAAATCAATCATTTATTTACTATATTGTTGTATATATACATGATGTTTATGAAATATAATTTGCTATGTACTCCATACAAAACAATTATAATTAACACATTACCATTAAGTTAAATTTGAAGCTTGATTGGTAAAGATTTCTCTAAGTTACAAAAGGTGAAGTAAGATCTAGAGATCAAGCGTTCACTCACGAGACCGTTTGGTTTTGGGTTAGAATCTCGCGAGCGGGATTGTGGATCTGTATTGCTCAGGAGTCCTATACTAGGACAAAACTACCGTTCAGTGCTTTCAGGTTTTTCATGGTGGTTTAGATTTAATTGACTCAACTATTGAAATTATTGAAATCTCTACAAAACCCCTTCTCATAATAATCATCTGATCACTAATGACTGACTTCAAGAAGTATTTCCTGGAGTTCTAGTGAGAAACCGTGACCATTGGAGTTAAACCAGGTATGTTGTGAAATATCAACTCACCGAAGACAATGGTGGATGTGTCACTCAATTTCATGAATTGGTTGAAGTTAAACATTAACACTGTTGGATGCCAGCCAACTCAGTGGTCTAGTGGTTAAGCGCTCGCGCGCGAGACTGATAGATCCTGTGTTCGAATCTCGTCAGGGGGGGGGCGGGATTGTGGGTGTGCATTCCTGAAGAGTTCCATACTAGAACAGAACGGCCGTCTAGTGCTTCCAAGTTTTCCATGTTGATCTAGCTTCAGTTAACTCATGATTTCAATTATTGAAAGATTTATTTAACAGAATGTTGTTAAAAAAACTGTAATAAAGAGTTAACTATTTCAAATGTCAAATTTAGAAAATACTGCTATACACTTCCTAGAGCAAGGTACAAATGACTTTCATTGAAATAGCTAGATACATCATCCTATAAATCAACCATATTTCAGACAATATTTTATTCACTCAATATTTGTTTTATAGATAGTACCTTTTATTATTTTAAAGCTTGTCACTTACTATAGTAGCTTCGTTCTTATCAAATATCTTTAAACAATCATTTTTGTGAAACTGAATATTAGTTAATAGTGGCTAGCAGTGGAATCCAGTTTGACGCGCGTTTTGTTCTATTTGGGACTCGTCAGCTGGATGTACCTGCATCCCAGAGTTGATGTTCACTCTGGGACTCAAATCGAGTACTGTTCGTTTATAACACCATCGCGTTATCCACTTAGCTACTGAGTCCTGATATCCGCTAGCCTGTACAATGGGGTCACATATGCCAACAAGAGTCTGATCAATTGCATTCCTAAATAATAATGGGAAGATATAACTAGAACAACACTAAGTGAATATGAAACTTAGTTGTTTAGTTTCTTTCCAACTTAGAGTATAAGAATCACAGCTTTCTTGTCTATATAATAGGATGTCCAATTAATCAATAATTCTTAAATCCTAATTACATATTACCCATTATTTTCCATTTCTCTGTTGATTTATCAAACTTATCAAATCAGTCTATAAACAATAGTTTTATAATCAACTATAACAGTTAAACTCTTATTATCCAACCTTAGTAACGTTTATTTGTATCCTCCCATGGATGTTTAGGATTGCAATTGATCAGTCTCTTATTGGCATATGTGTATAATATGCGTATTGCCTCATAATAGCCTTAATTCACAAGTATTATAACACAAAGATGGATAGTGGTGTTAGCAGTGGAATCCAGTTTGACGCATATTTCATCCTATTTTGGGACTTATTATCCAACTGTTTTTGAGTATATTTTATAATATTTAAATGTAATACATCATATATTGTACTTTATTGTTATACTTTTCTTTTATCAAGACTATTTGGACCGCTTGTTTACCAGATGTTCAGCCAATCAATGGAAATTCTCATTCTAATCGAAGTGTTAAATATTACAAACGTCAACTACCTCAAATACCTTCAGAAGTTAATAAAATAGATGTTAGAGATACATTCATTCCTTGTCAAATATCCACGTCTATAGGAATAAAAAAAGGAAGAGATAATCTGTTAACAGACGTCTTGAAGGTAGGTTAAAATAAATGGATTATCGTTTTTGTTTTATAATTTAGTTTTTTCCATTATCATTCATAGTACATAAAACAATAAATTTTGAACTATTAGTATGGGAGTTTGCGGAGATTATAATGATTTTAGTAGTTGAATTCATGAGTTGATGTAAGCTAGACTACCATTAAAAACTTGAAAGCAATGGATGACCGTTCCATATTAGTATGGGACTTCTCAGCAGTGCGTTCCACGATCCAGAACTCATGACTTGAACTAATGAAGACATTTGGTCCCGTACGCGAACGCATAACCTCTAGTCGACTAAGCTGGCAAAGAACAGTGTGAATGTCTAACTTCAATCGATCCATAATCTTGCGCAATCATTCATCTATTATCTGAGTTAAATACCTGTCTTTATCCGATACGGAATCGACTCAACTGGTCATGGCTTCTAGGACGAAATGGCCATCCAGTACATCCAGCTTTTCAATGGTGGTCTAGCTTACATCGATTCATGAATTCAAGTATCAACATTTTGAACAAGTTTTTAATCCTATTTCATTTGTCTAAAGATAATAATTTAATTTTGTCACGTCTTTTGTTGATTCTCTTGACTTCCAAACGTACTAAGAGCTATGATAAACTCATAACAAAAATATTTATTTCTATAAACTCAACTCCGAAACCCACTTATAATTCACTTAGTATTGTTTGTCTTGTATCATTCCATTGAGGTATAAGACTGCCATTGATCAGCACAAGCAAGTAGCTGTCAGGATTCAGTAGCTGAGTGGACAGTACTGGGTTCGAGTCCCAGAGTGAACATCAACTCTCCGAGATGCAGGTACATCCAACTGACGAGTCCCAAATAGGACGAAACGCTCGTCCTGGATTCCACTGCTAGCCACTATCCATCATTGCTCACAAAAACCACTTATAGGTCATCTATAAATGTCATATTGATTTCCTCAGTTGTTATATCTTAGCGAAGATTACATTACAAGTAACTTCTAAGACCTAATAATGGACTAATATTATACAGTATATTCCTATGGGGTACCTAGCCTGTCGTATGCCCTGATGGTGTTCTCGTAACCTTCGGGTTGCCTGATCTGCCAAAGGCGATGGGACAGTGCATGATGCTATTGTTGTGTGCTAGGTTCAAAAAGAATTGTATGCTATATGAATGCAAACCCGCCCCGTTATTGTTCCTATCCCTGCTTCGGTTTGAGCACTCGGGCAGTATCACAGCTCTCACATATATCAAATGAGATTTGTGTGGCTCATATGTATTTGGCGTCTCCTTATACCAATATCTATGTGTTGAAATAAAATAAAATATATTCCTACCGTATAATTATTCAGTAACTAGATTGTGTATATCCACATTCCTCTTCATTTTGATCTATAAACTATTATTGTACGACTTACTATTCTTAAATAATACTCAGTTTATTAATTACAGTCCCCCACGTTCACAGACACTTTTTGGTTTGATCTTGTATAAATGTGTTTTCCTATTTCATGGTTTGATGTGGTCCTGTTTGGCTGGTAATATAAATCAAGTATGTTTGAAATAAATGATTCGCATAGTGGAAGCAGTTATTGATGTTCTGGACTCAACAGACAGAGTTAGGCGAACAAAGGATCAATAAGAACACTAGACTGCTCATATACCAGTCGAATATCATAGGTTTAGCACAGTAGTAAGGTTTGTATAAGTTTAAATGAAATGAAGTCACTAACCTATATGCCCAACCCAACTTCCTTTATCTGGGCTTAGAAACGGCAGTAACTCTAGAAAAGCTATAAACAAAGTTTGTATGAATTGAATCATCACTTTGTAAATACTTTTTTTAATAAGAACATTAAAATGCACTTTTATTCGAAATTGTACTTCCATAAGTTTACTTACAGAAATATAAAGTATCATATGGCTTGAATCAAGTACTTTACTATAAAGTATAATTACAAAAGTATTTAATTAATTAGATAATCATTCTAATATTACATTCATAATTTGTTTGATAGCATTAGAACCATTTCTAAATGAATGAATCATAGTTCAAGAGATTAGGTCTAGAACTCACAGTAGACCTCATAGTCATTATAGTTATATAATATACCCTTGTGGGCCAGGGTAATTTTACATTGATTTTCAGGAGGACCAAACATCATCCAGACTTTCACTTGATAATCCAAACAGTACAGCCCAATCCCGCTTCACAGGAGAACCAGATACAGTATAGGCTTCAACGCTATGATTTGAATAGTACAACTCAACCCGGTGGCGTAACCACACAGGTACCAAACAACTTGGTGGACCATTCATACACACATTCACGTCATATGTATAGTTATTTCGATCAATGATCGTGTGAATAATTTTGCACAGCATGAACAGGCCAAATTTGATTTATTCCGCTTACCTGACAGTCAAACTCATTAATGTTAGCAATGGCGACATGCCTCATCATGTCCCAATGACAATGGCCCTTGAGAACACTGGAGTACAATCACCAGTATGAATGAAATCGGTTAGCAAGCAAACCAATTTTGTGCATGAACAGCCAGCAAAACTTACCAAAGTAATGCCGAACCATTCAGAATATCAATGACGAACCTCCAGTCTCATATGGGACCTTCAGCTCTACATAGACATATAGCATATTTGTAGAATTAATTATTATAATAAAGTAATGTAATAAATTCTGTGTTATATTGGAAACAGTAATGGAATATTCTAAACATTATTATCATATTCCCTTAATATTATTGTTTACTTAAATCTTCCCATTGATATTTAGGACTGCAGGTGATCAGTCTCTTATTGGTATATATACATCCTATACGAATCACATCAATATTGCCTTAAGTCACAAGTATTTTAGGTAAAGATGGAAGGTGGCTAGCAGTGGAATCCAGGACGCACGTTTCGTCCTACTTGCGAACCAGCAGCTGGATGTACCTGATCCGGGACTCAAACCTAGTACCGTTCGTTTCAAATGTCATTGCGTTATCCACTTAGCGTTCTAGATTTTACCGCTAGTCACAATCATATAACAAAAATTAGCTAATGATGTTCGTTCTATTAAGATGTTAAATGAAAGTAAAACATCAAGACGTAAATAATCTTTTACACTGTCGCACTATCTGGATTATTTAAACAGACTTCAATTAATTTTTTTGTAAGCAATGATGGATAGTGGCTAGCAGTGGAATCCAGGGCGCACGTTTCGTCCTATTTAGGACTCGTCAGCTGGATTTACCTGCACCTAAGAGAGTTGATGTTCACTCCGGGACTCGAACCCAGTAACATTCGCTTCAAACGCCATATCGTTATCCACTCAGCTATTGAGTCCTGATAGCCATTTGCTTGTGAGTCTCAGAGTGAACATCAACTCTGAGATGCAGGTACATCCAGCTAACGAGACGTAAATAAGACTAAGTGACTCGCGTCCTGGATTCCACTGCTAGTCTACTATCCATCATTGCTTACAAAAAGCTTGTGAATTAAGGCAATATCGAGGCATACGCACACTATGCACATATGCCAATAACAGACTGATCAATTGCAGTCTTAAAACCCCAATGGGAAGATACAAGCCAAACAACACGAAGTAGACTTCAATTAAGTTGTGAATAAATTAAAGAAATTTATTTTGTGGCATATATGTAGTGAACAAGAACACCAGTGCGGACAATCGGGCGTATATGAGCAAGCAATTACAGAGCATTTCAATAAAATATGAGAACCACATAGTAACTAGTTATTTGCAAAATGTCCGTTAATTGTCTTAAAATAACTCAGATTTCATTGTTCTTGCTTTTTCATACAAATTGCATTCTGTTTCCATTCGATCCTCTTGTCTCTCTACTGCCAGACATTCTGTTCCTCTCTAACGTTTATATACTACTTATGTCGATATAAGTAGTAAATACCACATATATACTACCGACGAGTGTGAAATTCAACTCTTTTATATAGGTTAGTTGAATTTTTCTCATAGATTTTAGAAGTGTAATTATTCAATCATTGAATAATAAAACTATGGGATGTAGATTCATTCGGCTGATGATTCTGGAATAAGATGAAGCATGAATCTTAGATTACACTACCAGCTACCATCCATCTATGGTTGCTGTGTGAAATTTATTTATTTCATCAGATAAGTAAGGTTTCTCTAGAAACAAAGAATAGAGAATCCTGAAATTTGACTAGAATAAATTATTTGATGAACTACAAATGAATGTGTTCGATGATACATTTGATTGTAAAGAATATGACCTATACTATACTCGGCGCTCAATTATGTCAACTATTCGTTCTAATCTGACGAATATTCGTAAAGAATATGACCTATAGTTATATCTATTTTCTGTAAAGGCTGAAGTAAAGGAAACATATATATAGAAGATGGGTTTTGTGGATATTATAGTAATTTCAATGGTTAAGATCATGAGTCAGTTGAAACTAGACGACCATGGACAACCTGGAAGCACTGGACAGCCGTTTAGTCCTATTGTGGGACTCCTCAGCAGTGCTCATCCACGACCTCGATCCCTTCGAGATTCGAACCCAGGACTTATTGGTTTCACGCATGAGCACTTAACCACTAGACCACAGCTGGCCGGCATCCAACAGTGTTAATATCTAACTTCAACTAATCCACGATACTTTTTTTCAATCAATTATACCCTTTCAGATGAACAATACAAAATCCGGTTTTATGAGTATACCACAAAAGAATGAAAAATCTCAAATCAATGAAGATATTTCTGTTATTGTATATCAACCACCATCTATTGATCCACATGGTCCTGCACCTAATCCACCTGTATATTGTTCATCATTTCCTCCATCTAATCTATGGTCTTCAAGGCATAATAATAGTCATAATAATATAGAATCTACTGAAATCAATAAAGAATTATCTCAAATGTATTTAAAACAATCAACAACTCCAAGACAAAATTGGTTAAATCAGGTTTGTCATTGATATATCATTTATAATTAATTGATAGTTTTGATAAAGTGAAGAACATTAGTAAGAATATAAAAGCCTTTTTGATAAATCATCAAAACTATCCAATGTTAACCTTTAGATTTTAATAGAATAACTTCTAAGTCAAACGATCGTTGAAAACCAGAAAGAAATGAATAGTACTTTTTTGTTTAGTATGTAACACCTCACCAATGAGCATCTACGATTTAGTATTCAGGAATCAAACCTAAGACAATCTACAGTCTTCACAAATACCCTTATATTTAAAATCTAAAAATGGTTGCCATTCAGTGACCAGTTCATATTAATGTTGCTTCACTGACAGCTTAAAATTTAATAATGTTCGACTATTCGCCATTTTCAGTTAATGCAATCTTTACAATGTCTACCTTAAGTAAATTTCATGAATTTGACTTGAATTGGATAGAGTTCGTCAGTCAGTATGTAATCTTAAAATAATAACAATACTTGTCTCTATAACATGACATAATGCCTCTAAGAAATTGAACACAGTAGAATAGGATGATAATCTACATTGGAACATAATATATATCTTATAACTGTACGACTGGACTGGTTTCATAAACTGTATTATTATCGCCAGACTCACTCTACACAATGATTTGAACAGAGAAGAAGAAAAGGCGCGTCATATGCAAAATACGCCTTACTCTGACGTCAGTTTATGTACAACGTAAACTTCTGGAAAGTTTCAGAACCCTCAGAAACATAATAGTAGTATAGGTAATCATCTAACCAAAGATGTGACATGTGACTTTTCATTGTTCAGATGTTTCTGAGACAATTCTGTCAACGTTTACTGCATAAAATATTCTCCACAGTTTTCATGGCCCCTTTGGTCTGTTTTGTTTTTCGAGGAATTTTCACGGTCTCCTCAACAGAATAAAATATGTTTTTAGAGATAACTCGAAATATTATACCATCCATCAACTTAAAAAAGTAACATATTTCTGAAAGAACCACTCAGCTAGAAAATTCGGTGGGACTATAATTTATGGAAGACCTTTCAGCGACGGTAAAGTGACGTGGAGAGTGTCTATCTACTTACTAGAGCTAAATGAGTGTTATAAATCGGGGTGAGGAAATAGAATTATGATTCACAGTTGATGGTTGAGATTAGGCATTAGATTTAGGCGTTTTCATCACAAACTAATATCATCTATAATGCCAAAAGACTATTTAGCCCAACGGATGGACAAATTTCGTGCCAAAATCCGAGATCTGTTATCTTATGCTTGATTGGTTCATCTATAAATTATAGTCTCGCCGAATGCGTTTGAGAAAGTGAACACAATGTTATTCATATGGCATGTTAAATAATGAAACAATATTGATTTGCTTTAGGAGAAGTCTAAATTTTCTATGAAATATAGATAAAGATGTCATGAATATTCAGAGTTTGACAACGTTGTTGTTCATAACAACTTTATAATCGAAGGATCCTAAACACAATCAAACTAGGAGTCAGAAATAAAAGAGTATTTTTTGAAAGATAGTCGATAAGTTATGAAGTGTGTGTGTGTAATGTAAACCAACTAGTTATTGCTAGGAAATGCTTAGTCCAGTGTACGCAATGATAATATTATACGGATGCATGACCGAGAACCTTCAGCTTGGAATTGTCTAGTAAAACCAATAACATCAGAATCAATTTCAAAGACTTAAAGAACTATTTATTTTGAAGATTTATTTGTCGCTATACATACCAAAACATGGTACAAATCCATGAAATCACTAACAAGTGGACTGAGTCATGTTGGTAGGTGTAGACTACCTGGTTGGGACCTACGAGACGATAGCAACCGATGGTTAGAGACCTTGAATGTGACATGGCTCAAAATCGTTTGCGATGGTGCAGGTGTATCCACTCTTTGTGTTCTCCAAAATTCTCACCTTCTGAATTCTTCATGTCCCTTTTCTTTTTCTCATTCCAAATTTATTTTACTGGATAATACTCTTTGAATAACAGCTTGAAACCCTAATCTTTTTGATTACTGATTATACTCTTACTACTTCTATCACTATGGGATTTGAATCGACAATTGTATCTGTGTGTTAATAAGGTATGGCAACTCGAACTGATGTACGTACGTACGATGTTCTACGTTGTTACTGACTGACTATTATTATTATTGGCTTTATTCATTATTATATTTTTGGTACAATATAGAATTCTCAGCATAAAGTAGTTCAACACCTTTCCTTTTCATATATCTGACGATAACATATTGAATGATCGTCAGTTAGAAGTAAGCAGTTCAAGAATCGATATCTGAATAATGTTCATTCGTTTCAATGCATATTGTCTGCTAGCAACTATGATGTCTCTGATTAGGCTGTTTTGTAACTTGTATAACAAAAATTTGTACACTTTTCACAAACTCACCTGAATAGGTTATGTGACTAAATAGGTATAATGACAAACAAGAAAATAGATAACTTGTGTGAAATATATAGCCTCTGTAAAGGAAGTTCTACTCACTGCCTTCTCGTGGTAAGGGTGTTGTTTACGAAATTGAGAGGATGAAAAGTGAATGTCCGGAACTTTAACAGGGTTGGTGGACATGGAGAGTTCACCTAGGAGAGTTAAAAAACTGATTCCAAATCAATGGTGCACATGGGCTCGAGTATCCTAAAGAAACAAATTGCGTATGAACCAGTGGTTGGTCACCGGCTATCATGCGACTGCATCTTTCTTACGTTGCCTTGTGGATTAGACTTTCAGGTCAAAGGCTCGGGATGTGGCCCTCTAAGAAAACCACCTGCTTCGGTTTAGGCACCTGGGCAGTATCACAGCCCTCACACATATCAAACGAGAATTGTGTGGCGCATATATATCTGGTGCCTCCTTGTACCAATATCTGTGTTAAAATAAATAAATGGTATATGTGTGAAATATCTAAATGACAGGAAATAGATAGCCCAGATATTCAAACAGTCCGCTTGGAACTTTTGTTCATTTCTTATGATATTAACCTACTTTTATTGTTTGTTTTTGTTTTTGTAGCTAGTTATTAATGATTTAAATGAATCAATGATGAAATATAAATCGATTGATGAAGATTGGTCACATCTTGATCTTCCATTAAAACATTTAGCACCTTCATCATCATCACCATCATCGTCACCATCACCATCATCATCATCATCACCACCACCTCCACCAGCACCTAAACCTATTTTATTAAATATCAATGAAGATTTATCAAAATTCAATTATTGAAAATGATATTCATTAGAATAGAGAACTGAAATCTCTGAATAAAACTTTCAATGAATCCATGGTAATTAAATAATATGGAAAATGTTTTTTTGTTTTTTTCTTTGTAAAGAAATAAATAGTCCTTTATTGTTTTTTATGAACTTGTGTCATATTGTGGAAATGATGAACCGGATCCATAATAGATCACCCAATAGAAATGATCGTTTTGTTCTAGTACAGGAATACTGAATAGTAATCATCTATACGCACACAATCACACACACACACACCCGACTGAGAATCGTACCAAGAACTTTTGGTTTCTTATAAATGTTTCACTTCTAGACCAGTAACATGGAATTCAACATTGTTCGTATGTTTAACTTCAATCAATTCATGATATGGACACAGTGATCATATATTGTATGTGTTTGATAACTGTTTTCTATGCAATATGGTTGAACTTCATTGGTTATGGGGTTTTTTTTATTAGAAATTGATAAGTCTTGTCGATTGAACGCTATATTTGCTTCCTAAGCTATTCTGGTAACCCGCAAGCTGGAACTAAACAGCGACCTGAACACCAGCGAGAAGACGCAAAGTATGAGAGAAATACTTTACTCTAAGGTTCGTTTTTGTACAGAAAACATGGGTATTTATAGATGTTAACGTATCATCATATTTCGGCCAATTCGTTAACGACATATTATGCTATTGACCAATAGTAGCACGCCACTTTGGAATTCTAGAATGCTCCATCATGCTCTGATTGGCTAGGACTCTTCGGCTCCTTTTGAGCCTCTGTAGGCTCCGTTGAAGTTCTCCGAAAGCCGACTCAACAGAAATCTAAGAGTTTCATTATGAAATTAGTCACTAGTGAGAAGGGCATCATAAGTGTTAGTATAAAGTTCTGGAGATTGTTGAATTTCATTGGAATTCTTGAATCTATTTAAGTTAGATCACCATTGTGTAATACATATATTTCATAATGAATCGTTCAGTTGATGTTTATTAATTAATTTTGCATAATGATTATGTACTACAATAAACTACTAGTATCGAATATATTTAACAGCATTATTATCAGTTTTATAATTTAACATGTAGAAGTTATAATATGAGATTGAATGAAGCAAGTTCACTTGAACAATTCATCATCTTATGTTTGATTAAATCAAAACAATATGATTATTATCAGAAGGGGTTTTGTGGAGATTTTTTAGAAATTTCATTGATTGAAATCATGAGTCAATTGAAGATAGACCACCATGGAAAACCTGGAATTACTGGATGACCGTTTCGTTCCAGTGTAGGACTCATCAGCAATGCGCATCCATGATCCCACCTCGCAAGATTTGAACCCAAAACCTATCAATCTAGCTTCAATTAACTCATGATCTCAATTAATGAAACAACTATAATATGCACAAAACCCCCTTTTGTTATTAATCACCATATGCTCACTAGTGATTGGCTTCAAGAGGTCTTTCCTGGAGTTCTAGTTAGATACTGTGACCAGTGGAGTTCAACCAGGTCTGTTGTAAGATATCAACTCACTGAAGATAATGGTGTACAGTGGCTCAACTTCGTGGATTGGTTGAAGTTAAAATTTAACACCGCTGGATGCTGGCCAGACCAGTGGTCAAGTTCGTTAGGCGCCTGGTTCGAGACTGATAGGTCCTGGGGTCGAATCCCGCTGTGTGCGGGACCGTGGGTGCGCACTGCTAGGCAGTCTCATACTAGGAAGAAATGGCCGTCCAGTGCTTCCAGGTTTCCCATGATGGTCTAGCTTCAATTGACTCATGATTTCAATCAGTGAAATATGATTATTGACAAAGATAGATAATGGCTAGCATTGGGATCCAGGACGTACGTTTCGTTCTATTTGAGACTTGTCAGGTGGATGTACCTGCATCTCAGAAATACGCTTAATAGATTCAACTGCTAGTCACTAACTATATTCGCTTAAAAAGCTTGTGACTTAAGGCTATATCGAGGCAATCCACACAGGATACACATATGCCAATAAGCGACTGATCAATTGTAATACTAAAATAACAATGAGAAGATACAAGTAAACCAACACCAAATGAACATCATCTGATTATTAAGAACAATTTATGAAAACTTAACGTTGGAACCCTATAATTATAATTCACTTGATATTGTTTTACTTGAATCTTCCCATTGATGTTTTTGGACTGAAATTGATCAGTCTCTTATCGGCATATGTGCATACTGTGCGTATGCCCCGATATTGCCTTAATTTACAAGCATTATAAGCAAAGATGGATAGTGGCTAGCAGTGGAATCCAGGATGCGCGTTTCGTCCTGTTTGGGACTCGTCAGCTGGATGTACCTGCATCTCAGAGTTGATGTTCACTCTGAGACTCGAACTCAGTACCGTTCGCTTCAAACGCCATCGCGTTATCCACTTAGCTACTGAGTCCTGATAAATTAAGGCAATATCGAGGCATACGCACAGTATGCACATATGCCAATAAGAGACTGATCAATTTCAGTCCAAAAACATCAATGGGAAGATTCAAGTAAAACAATATCAAGTGAATTAAACTTCAACCCATTGCACAAGCAAGTGGCTATCAGGACTCAGTAGCTAAGTGGATAACGCGATGGCGTTTGAAGCGAACGGTACTGAGTTCGAGTCTCAGAGTGAACATCAACTCTGAGATGCAGGTACATCCAGCTGACGACTCCCAAACAGGACGAAACGCGCATCCTGGATTCCACTGCTAGCCACTATCCAACCTATAATTATAAGTTGACTATTTCACAACTGATCAATAATATAAATATGCTATGTGTTATTCCAATTGGTTAATATTATTGAAGGAAGATTGAATGAAGTTTGCAGTTTGGTATGAATGATCGTTTAACTGAATGTGATTTCTCCCGTAATGAATCAACTTGTTAAAGTATTGTATTCTTCTATAAAACAACGAATGTATTTAGAACTATGTAAAGATAATCTGTTTATGGTTTATAGTTTGTATATTGAATTTAAGTTTCTGATAATGTTTCATTTTCATTCGAAAGAATTAGTCACCTTTATTATTTTTGTTGTTGATGAAACATATCCTTCCATCATGATAAGTAATATCTAGTTACTTACTTACTTACTTACGCCTGTTACTCCTCGTGAAGGAGCATAGGCCGCTCACCAGCGTTCTCCATCCAACCCTGTCCTGGGCAATCCTTTCTAGCTCCGTCCAGTTGTAATTCATCGTTTTCATATCTGCTTCTATTATCCGACGCAATGTGTTCTTTGGCCTTCCTCTTTTTCGCTTCCCTTCAGGATTCCAAGTTAGGGCTTGCCTCGTGATGCAGTTTGACGATTTGCGTAATGTATGTCCTATCCATTTCCATCGTCCTTTCCTAATTTCTTCTTCAGCTGGAAGAATATCTAGTAAAGAGTTCGATTTAAGGGATCTGTTAGAATCTTCCTTTATTCATAAGAAATTAGAATACAAACACTACGATACTGATTGAAATCGTGAACCGATTGATGTTAGACCATCGTTGGAAACCTACAAGTATTGGATGGCCATTTCGTCCTATTGTGGGAGTCCTCAATAGTGTGCATCTACAATCTGACCTCATGAGATTCAAAGCAAGACCCTATCAGTCTCGCGTTTGAGCGTTTAACCTCTACATCACTGATCCGGCCGGCATCCAACAATATCTAACTTCAACTAATCCACGATGTTGAGCGACACATCCATCATTGTCATCAGTGTGTTACCATCTCATAACAGACCCAGCTGAACTCCACTGAACACAGCTTCTCACTGGAACTCCAAGATATACCTCTTGAAGTCAGTCACTAGTGAGCAGATTGATTATTATCAAAAGGAGGGTTTTGTGGATATTATAATATTTTAATAGTTGAGATCATGAATCAGTTGAAGCTAGAACACAGCCTTGATAGTTTAGAGGTTAAGTGTTTGCGCGCGAGACTGATGGATCCTGAGTTTGAATCTTCCGAGGCGATATCATGGATTCGCATTGCTGAATGTTTTTGAACACACAAAATCGCAGAACATCTTCATAAAATCTAAGAACCATTATAGTAAATATTTTATTTACAACATGTCAATCAATTGTCTCGGACTTCATTATTCCTTCACTTCTATATCAATTACTTTCTAGTCCCGTTCTTTCTTCGTCGATCTTCTGCTGCCAGACATTCTATTCCTGACTAGCCTTATATATATATATATGTACTACTTATGTCGATACAAGTAGTACATATCAAACCAATACTACTAAAAATGCTGATGATAATAATAATAATAAAGTAACCGATTAACACGTATATTGTCTAATTTCTACTTTTTTTTTCTTTTATTTTTAGGCATTTTCATTCATCAATTGGATTGATATATCCTAACAAACATAATCATCAATCTCCCTCTCCCCCCTCTCACTCACGTTTCTATGGATCAGTGTATTCATTCGTTATTTTCTTTTCTTTCTTTCTTTCTTTTCTTTTCTTTTTTTAAAGAGAAAAAAAAACCTGTATTCCCTTAGTTCTATTGTAGAAAATTGTATGTATGTATGTATGTATGTATGTATAATGATTTGTGTGTATATTATAGAATAGTTTCATAGAAGAGAAATAAAAATCCCTATTTATGCTCAACACTAATTCAGATGTAAATGTGTTCCTTCAAACTAATCAACCAACCAACAAAGAAAGAAACAAAGAAAGAAAAAGACATTCCATTTGCTCATCCAATTTTCTCTTTTTTGGGGAGAGGGGAGAGGGGGAAGGGAGTAGGAGTCTTAACTCATTTACAATTTTTTTGTTCTTGAGTTCAATCTTTTTGTTGAGTAGGTTCTTTTTGTTTATTTACATATACATATTGAATATGATTTTAATTATTATTTTTTATTATGATTATGATTATGATCAAATGTCTTTCTATCTAATTGATGAATGTTTATTAGCTCGAATCCTTTAATTCATCCATGTAGAATACAGCACTTATTATTATTATTATTATTATACTTATGAGTGTAATCCTTTTTAGAATTATGATTAGTATTTTGTTGTTTGGATTGTAATTAAATGAAAAAAAAGGCACACAATCACTATTATTATTGACTATTCGTGTTATAACTTGTCGGATTGAATGCTACTTGTTATCTTTGGTCGTCGGTGATTATTGTGTCGGGAACGCTTATCACTTATAATTGAAACAAGTGACCTCTGCAATTCTCGACGATATGAAAGTAAGAAGAACACAAAGACTATTATAAGTGAAGATTTATTAATCCCCAAAACACGATGATGATGATGATGATGACGACCCTAGTCGAAAATACACTGATTTATATATTGATTGTACACTGAATAATCATCACATTGAATCATAATGGAAGTAATGTGAAACCAAAACTCATAATGAGTAAATTAATCAAGTTTTAACTATTCTTCCCATCATATCAATTACAAATTGTAATACAATAATTATGAATAAGGAAATAAATATGTATAGATAGAGAGATTCTTTATTTATTTAAACACATAGACATTGGTACAAGGAGGCACCAAATAGATATGCGTCACATAAATCATTCGATTTGTGTGGAGGCTGGGATACTACACGGGTGCCCAGACTGAAGCAGGTGGTTTTCTTAGGGGGCCACACCCTGAGCCTTCGACCTGAAGGTCTGATCCACAAGGCAGTGGAACATCGTAAGGAGATGCAGTCCCATGGTAGCCGGTGACGAATAATGGGTTCATACGCCATTTGTTCCCGCAGGATACTGGAGCCCATGTGCACCATTGGTTTGGAATCCGGTTAAAGCGTCGCACATTCGCTTTTCGTCCTCTCAATTTCATAAACAACACCCCTGCCACGAGAAAACAGTGAGTAGGACTTCCCTGGCAGAGGCTGTATACGCGTGGCCGTGTGAGAGTATTTCGAGAGGGATGGCGGGCCCACCCCACTCTCGGCCATACCAGGGTATTTGGGGGCTTCAGTGATTCTTTGTTTAAATCAACTATAAAAAATGTTAGTAATAGTTCTTCAAGTTTCTACTTTGTACAGTAGAACTAAATGTGTTGATGTTCGTATTGAAGATTTTGACTTTGATATTGATTGACTATTGTTTTGAGTTTCATATGTTCTTCAATTAAAGGAATGTGGCTGTTGCTATGCCAATCCTTTCTTTTATATCTCCATTCAATACTCCTTATTGATAAAACACGAATACATATAATTTATATGCTAATTGCATTTATAGGTATCAATGCCATAGTTGGACTTGGTAGTTCCAAATAAACTGTGTATTGTGCTATTCTAATGAGTAGGAAAAATTTTATTTCTGACGTCTCATGATTTAATATAAGCCACTTCTTTAGGATAAATAAATAACTGAAATCGAATTAACACAAGTTTATTTAATATCAGAAGGGGCTTTGTGAATATTATAGTAATTTCAATGGTTGAGATCATGAGTCAGTTGGAGCTAGACCACCATGGAAAACCTGAAAGCACTCAGCAGCCGTTTCGTCATATTGTGGGATCCCTCAGCAGTGCGCATCCATTACCCCGTCACGCGGGTTTCGAACGCAGCTTCTATCAGTCTTGTGCGCGAGCGCTTAACCCTTCGACTACTGAGCTGGCATCCAATGGTGTTAATGCCTAACTTCAAACAATCCAGGAAATTGAGTGACATATCCACCATTATCCTCAGTGAGTTACTATCTCACAACAGACCCGGTTGAACTCCACTGATCACTGCTTCTCACTAGAACTCCAGGAAACACCTCTTGAAGTCAGTCACTAGTGAGCTTTAACTGATTCATGATCTCAACCATTGAAATTATAGGTTTATTTATTTACTCTGAAGAAGTGTGTTACGTTCTTGATCTGTCTACCCACTTTTGGTGCTAAGGATAACTTGTCTAATCTAAATATTAAGATCTTGACGCGACAGGCTGACCGGCTTAACCTTGAGGCTAGTACTCGTGAGTTCGAAATGGAGTAGAGAGAAGAAAGTTATTCTATCACCTGATTGATTTGCTGACAAGCACGCGAGTGAGCAAAGACAAGTCAACTGAAACACTACTCGGTTTATTCTCAATTCCGATCTGGTTCCCGAATTTCAGATCAGTGTAAAGAGAGATACATGAATAAATCGATGACTAACCCAACCACAACGTGCAATAATTAGCGTAAAAAATAGAGCAAGAAATAACACAATAGCTTTGGAAGAAAAAGGTCTATGGCAATGAATCCTACATCAAACGGAAGCTCATGATCTGTAGAATAGATTTAGAGGAAAAAATAAATGTTAATATTTTACAAGCTTTGAATGAACTGAACTAACGTCCCCCCCAAAAATAGTTTCCATAGTTTGTCAAGACTTATTGTTTCTCTGTTCACATCAAAGTGGCTTAGATTAAGTCACAAAACATCAGATATACAATTTCTCCTATTCATTAGTATATAAAATGAACGTCATTTCAAATTAGTGAACTAAAATGAAGTGAGTCATTAACCAATAAGCTTTCAAGACTGTATTTTATTATCATGATGATAATCAATTATTATTTCTATCTCTATGCCTGGTGTTACATAATCAATCGACTAGAATTGAATATGCCCATCAGTGAATTATTAGAAAAAAAACATGAGATTGATTTAATAAAAGAAACTGTAAAGCATTCAATACAATTAGAAGAACAATAGTTGTTGATGTGAATGAACAATCTGATTGATTATTTACTGATAAACAGTGAAAAGTACATTTTATTGACTATAAGTTGTAGTAAAATAGATACCTTTGAAGATGGCACATAAACATTCCATGACAGGTTCTTGTATATTGTCATATTCTATAGTTCTTGATACTACTATGTATTGTATTATATTCATTACTCATGTTCAGGTGATCCTGATATTGACTTAATATGGATTTTCTAGCTGAGTGGTTCTTTGAGATTCGGCGAGACTATAATTTATAGATGAACCAATCAAGCATAAGATAACAGATCTCGGATTTTGGCACGAAATTTGTCCATCCGTTAGGCTAAATAGTCTTTTGGCACTATAGATGATATTAGTTTGTGATGAAAACGCCTAAATCTAATGCCTAATCTCAACCATCAACTGTGAATCATAATTCTATTTCCTCACCCCGATTTATAACACTCATTTAGCTCTAGTAAGTAGATAGACACTCTCCACGTCACTTTACCGTCGCTGAAAGGTCTTCCATAAATTATAGTCCCACCGAATTTTCTAGCTGAGTGGTTCGTTGAGAAATATGTTACTTTTTTAAGTTAATGAATGGTATAATATTTCGAGTTATCTCTAAAAACATATTTTATTCTGTTGAGGAGACCGTGAAAATTCCTCAAAAAACAAAACAGACCAAAAGAGGCCCTGAAAACAGTAGAGAATATTTTATGCAGTAAACGTTGACAGAATTGTCTCAGAAACATCTGAACAATGAAAAGTCACGTGTCACATCTTTGGTTAGATGATTACCTATACTGCTATTATGTTTCTGAGGGTTCTGAAACTTTCCAGAAGTTGAGGGCCGTCTGAAATGTTATAAATACCCTCAATTTACTTGTACATAAACTAGCCTCGGAGTAAGGCATGCTTTGCATATGACGCGCCTTTTCTTCTTCTCTGTTCAAATCATTGTGTAGAGTGAGCCTGGCGATAATAATACAGTTTACGAAACCAGTCCAGTCGTACTGTTAGAAGATATATATTATGTTCCAATGTAGATTGTCATCCTATTCTACCGTGTTCAATTTCTTACAGGCATTATGTCATGTTATAGAGACAAGTATTGTAATTATTTTAAGATTACATACTGACTGACGAACTCTATCCAATTCAAGTCAACTTCATTAAATTTACTTAAGGTAGACATTGTAAAGATTGCATTAACTGAAAATGGCGAATAGTCGAACATTATTAAATTTTAAGCTGTTAATGTATTATCATCAGTGTGGACTGTTCATTGAATGGCAACCATTTTCAGATTTTAAATATAAGGGTATTTGTGAAGACTGTAGATTGTCTTAGGTTTGATTCCTGAATACTAAATCGTAGATGCTCATTGGTGAGGTGTTACATACTAAACAAAAAAGTACTATTCATTTCTTTCTGGTTTTCAACGATAGTTTGGCTAAGATCAGTACGTGATTTAAACTATAGAAATTTCATAATTGTTTGGTGTTACTGCTGATCAAACTCAATTTTTAATAGTCTAAGTGAAATAACATCGTATACATTATGTCTGGTGTTGAGATTTAAGACAGTAAACAGGAGGCGTGAAACTCAGCTACTGTGTTAGCTGTTACTCTTTAACACATTTTATTTAGAGTTAAAACAAAGATACTCTATGTGGGATTCGAATTCACACCACAAAATTTCACATTATGAGATATTATCAAAAATTTATTTGTCCCTGAATCGACCACTGAGTAGTAAAAACCTATGTTATCATTGTGTGATACTTAAATTCTATGGAGTTCTATTGAACAAAAGGTTCAAATAACTTAATAATAATCCTTAACACTGTTAATCTAGATGAAACATACTCGAAACATATAAGCATCATCAGACTCCACAAGATCGTATGTCGGTCTAGCAATAATTACTGATAGCTTCTGACAAGCCGATCTTCTACATGATCAGAAGGGGTTTTTGTGAAGAGTTTAGAAATTTCACTGATTGAAGCCATGAGTCAATTGAAGTTAGACCACCATGGAGAACCTGGAAGCATTGGACGGCCTTTTCATCCCACTATAGGTCTCTTCAGCAGTGCGCATCCACGATCTCGCCATCCGCAAGATTCGAACTCAGGACTTGGCAGTCCCACGCGTCAGTGCTTGACCAGTAAACCATTGAGCCGGCCATCATCCAACGGTGTTAATGTCTAGCTTCAACCAATCCACTAAGTTGAGCCACCGTACACCATTGTCACCAGTGAGTTGATATCTCACAACAGATCTGGTTGAACTCCACTGATCACTGTTTCTCATTAGAACTCCAGGAAATACCTCATGAAGCCAGTCACTAGCGAGTAGATGATTATTATCAGAACGGGGTTTTTTGTGGAGATTTTAGAAGTTTCACTGATAATTCATAATGAATATGATCTGAATTATTATTATTATCATCATCAAATATCTTTCTATCTAATTAATGATTCCTTCTTAGCTCGAATCCTTTCATTCATTCATGTACAATACAAAACAATCATTATTATTGACTACTATAAAAAGATTTAATCATTTAACTAAACTTTAATTGAATCATTTTTTCAAAAAAAAAAAAATAATCATAAATTTGTTTGTTTGTTTATTTGTATTTTCTTTGTTTAAATTAACTATAATAAATAGACAAGTTTCTATAGGGCTGATAAGCTTTCAACAACAACAATAACAACAACAACAAAAACAAAAAAAGAAAGAAAGAAAAAAGAATAATCTAATGTACGTTATAGAATCTATTTGA